GCAGTCAGGGAGAAAAAGGTAAACAGAGGCAGCAGTGGAGAACTCAGTCTCAGTGTTAGGCCAGTCTGGGTATGACCCAGACTGTGGGGATTATGCTCTGTGCTTTAATTCATTCAACAAATATTTACTGAGGACTTAACTAAATGCCTGTCAGTGCTGAGACAAAGGAGTGTAGGAAACAATGCTACCTCTGGAGTTTCTATTTGTCTACAAATGGAAACAATTGCAGCACCGAGCTCATAAGGTTACTGAAGGATTACAACTCAGCATGGGACCTGGCTCATACTTATTGCTATGAAAAATAATAAAACAATCTTTTCCCTGGATTCTAGATTTAACAAAACAATTACAACAACTCAAGATTGTCCATTTATCTGTATTTTGAGCTTCTCCAAGCCCTGTTTTTCAGAAATTTCTTGAGGGACTCCCCTTGGTGGGGCCTAGAGAGTCTGATCAATAGTTTCAGGTGTTTCAGGCCATTTAGGTGGGAAGTGTGGCATGGGGTGGGGGGAGAGCTTGAAGCATTGTAAACCCAGAAGTAACCAGAGTTGGCAAGGTGGTGTTGGCACAGTCACAAGAGAGCTTCATTTCCAGTTTTATACTGAAAGGATCCTGCTTATAGTATTTTACCTCTAGAGTTTCAGTGTGATGAGAACATTTTTGCAAAGTTTCAAATAAAGCATTTAACCTAAATCCCTGATATTCATGGCTCCCACTCATTTCCTTTCCTCTTGCCCTCCAAGGTTTAGTGAAAAGGATTGAGCTGGATGCTGACCAACCCAGAAAGTCTCATCCTGCCCCATCTGGGTATCTGTGCTCTCTTGGGCATCTCTGTCATGCTCCAGGACCCACAGTCCATGCGCTGGCCTCCTTGGTGCATGACTCAGGTTCAGTATCTCTCTCTCTCTCTGCCAGTCAAACATCTACCCCTTTCTCCCATTCCCAAAGATCACACTTTCCTTCCTTTGTCTTTATAGCATTGGAAATCCATTTCCCACTAGGGTCTGATGGAGCATTTTCTTGCTCCAAATTTTTGAGATGGGGTGAAACAAGAAGCAAATCAACTTTTATGAAATTGCCAATATGGACATGTTTGACTTAAAGGAAGAAAGGAAAGAGGGATGAAATGGAAGGAGGGAGGGCAGGAGAGGGGAGAAATAAAGAAAGTGAGGGTGGAAAGAAGGAAAACTCAAAGAAACCAGGGCTAGTACAAGGTAATTATGCAACGATTTTCCTCTTGTTAGAAAATTAGTTTGCAAGGGCCTCCCTGGTGGCGCAAGGGGTTAAGACATAACCTATGAAACAATCCGCAGCCACTGCAAGCACGAGTTCGATCCCCGAGCAGGAAGCTACCCACATGGTGCAGCAGACCTCTCCTGACTCGCCCGCTGCTCCCCTTGGCAGTTATTTCAGTCAATCTGCCTGTTCTGTTCCCCACTCTGTCTCTGGTGAATCCTCTCACCCCCCACACCTTTGGCTTGTACCCCAGCTCTTGTATGCATAAAAATAAAATAAATCTTTAAAAAAGAAAAAGAAAGAAAATTAGTTTGCAAATACTGCTGTGACATGACTGACATCATGCTAGAAAATGTCTATTTTTAAGCCCTGATGGTGGCCATATTTTCATGAGAGGTGACTTTCCTTAGATAAGAAGAGTCATCAAGTCCACACCATGGGTTGATGGGGCTGATCCAGGCCCTGGCTGGGAGCCGAGGCAGCAGTCCTGGGGAGTGAGTGCCCAGACCAAAGGGCAACAAGGCAGAATCACAAGTCTTGCAGCTACTGCCCATAGGCTGCTGCCCCAGGAGGACTTCTCAGAGGAAGCAGGGACGAGCTGAGTAGAGAGAACAGCCAGCAAGTTCAGAGGCTGTCGGCACCTCGCAGAGTTCATGCTGGCTGCCTGGAGCCAGCTCACCATGGCACTTACTGGTGGGGCTTAAGCAGGGGTCACTGCCTTTCTGGGGCCCTGAGCCTTAGCTTTGCAGCTGCAGTAACCTCCTCCCCACCAAAGAGACAACAAAGGACAGCAAGCAAGACACCTCCTTTTATTCCTGTCCCCCTCCCTTCGTCTCCACAGTCTTACTTGTTCAGACCCATGTTCTCCATTCAATGAAGACTGACTTCTTTTATTATGGAAAGGGAGAAAGAAAAAAATGGGAAGAAGGTAGTTTTACCTGCTAGGCTACCAATTTTGTCTCTGGTTTCATAGTTTCTTCCCTAAGGATAAAAAAGGTATACTTTTTTCATATTTTAAAATATTTTATTCAACAAAGTTTATGGACTGTGTACTATGTGCCAAGCACTGTGCTTAATAGAGTGGAGAATGTAAATGACCAAGGCTCATTTTAAGGAACATTTCCTATAACTTTTCTGCAGTTCTCCATTCTCTGAAAAATGGAGAATATTGCCTCTCTTAATTTTTCCACATGCTAGAAATGCCAAGTCCTTTACTAATAGAGTTTCAAGTCTCTGGTCATTTTAATCTTATCTTTTCCCCTTTGGGCCAAAGTTCTGTTTCAGTTGTCAGGTTTATCAGATAAAGCTACATGACACCTGGTTAAATATGAATTTCAGATGAATGTATAGACTGATTCTGTAATATTCCGCTACCTTCTATAGTTCAACAGAATATTGTATGTCCAGTCAAAGAAAAAATTATATAAAAATGAGTGAGAAAGGAATTTTCGTTTTCTCCACATAATATTTAGAAGAAACATTACCTCCACGCCCCCGCCCCCCCCCAAGTTTTTAAGAAAATAGCGCTCAAACTCTGCCTTTAGAAATCTGGTTCTCAAATACCTAACCAAAGCAGGTTGACGTTTATAGTGAAATATCGCCCTCTTCTGGAAGGATGGACATCGTACAATGGAGAGGGAGATAAAGAATTTTTAAGTTAGAACAAAAGCACAGTTCAATTATGTGCCTAGGGAAGCAATAAAAGTTGTCGTTATCACTTTCAAGTATATGCTTTATTCTTCAAAGTGACTCTACCTGGTGGAAGTAAAAAGATTTTTTGGAACTGGATGAGCAACAATTTTCATACATTTGTGGAGGTGACTGAATGCTGGAGATAAGAAACAGATAAAACCTCTAACTAGAGGACATATCTTAAGTAACCAAATAGTAATAAAACCTGAATAGTAATAATCCCTAATGGTAATAATGCCCAAGTCATCAGAATCAAACAGCTCCAGTGACTTCTGCACAGGAAGTTCTCCCCATGTGTAAGATAAATAGAAAAAGAGTGTGGAGTATGTCAATATTTACATTTTGGGGTCACATGGACCTCAACTAAATTTCTTCTCTTCCATTCATAAACTATGTGCTCTGAGGCAAGTCATCAAACTCTTTGTGTGTTAGTTTCTTTATCTGTAAAATCATAATTATAAACATAGAAGCCCTCGGGACTCCTGTGCCAGGCCCAGAAGCTGCTTGTGGGCAGGCGTTTTATGCCCACCTCCAGTGGCTCACTGGGGCTCAGGCTGCCGGCAGAGGCCAGCCCTGATGGCTCTGGCTCGGAGTGGATGGTGGTGGTGGTGGTAGTGTCCTCCCCACACTGCCCTAGGGCATGCAGCTCCACTGGGGCTGCAGAGGCAAGGTTGCCCTGTGCTAGAAGCAGCTCGTGCTCAGGGAGGAGCATGAGACCTCACTGGGTCCCTTTACAGTGTTTCACCCAGCCCCACTGAAGGACTGTCTGGTGCAGAATGCCTTTGGCCACACTGAGGTGAGTGTCCATATGAGCCACCAATATGTCTAACCTTAAATCTATAAGCCTTGCAATTCTCATGAAAAGAACATCGCTTTTCCTCTAGTCCTAGCAGAGCTGATGTTTTTGGGTGTGGGTTTTTTTTTTTTTTTTTTTTTGATGTTTTTGGTTTTGATTGACTTGACAAGTAAGTGTCTTCCCTGAAACATTCACTAAGTGAGATGCTACACCACAAAGGCCAGGATCAGGTGCTGTCTCCACCCCTGTAAATACCAAGGGAAGTCAATGCCCCACACTGGCTAAGATTATGAGGGTGGTTGTTCAAAGGCAAATTTCAGTGCTACCATCAAAATGAGGAATGGAAACAACACACACACACAGAGAAAGAGAGAGAGAACAAAACACCCAGGCAGATACAAGAAGATACCACGGAAGAATAAAATAGATTTAATAATAGGAACAAGAGAAGGGAATTAAGAATGGATGAGCTATATATTTATTGACTCACCTAAGACCAGAAATTGCAAAAACAAACAAAAACAAACTCCCAAAGCCTACTGAATGGTTTATGCGCTTTTGATTTAGAGTTAGGAGTTGGCTGACAGGATTGAGGGGGCTGGCAACTTCCAAACTTGCAGGCGGTTTGGGAACCTGGAAGTTTATTTGCAGCTTGACTCAGAAGGCAGCTGAGGCAGGATTTCTTCTCCCTTGGGGTATCTTAATCTCTTTAACCCTTCAATTGATTGAATGAGTTCCACTCACATTGTGGAGGTAATCTCCTTAACTCAGTCTACTGATACAAATGTGACTCTCATCTAAATCATCTAATCACCTTTCTAGCACCTCTAGAGTAATATTTGATTGGATGCCATGGCCCACCTAAGGTGACATCAAGCACTTGAGTTCTGAGTGATCCCTATGTTGAGCTCAAAGGGAGGTAACTTTCTAGTGCTCAGGCCAAACCCAAGACCAGTTAAATCAAATATCTGGGGGTGAGGCCCAGGTCAAGGTGTTATTAATGTCCCACAGGTTTTTCCAGTGTGCCCCAAGATTGAGAACCACTGTGAAGAGCATTGGTTTTTTAATGTTGTTTCCAATCAGCCACTTCAACCTCACCTGCAAGCTTGTTAAAAATGCAAATTCTCCCCTCCTTTAATGGTGTGATATCCATAGAAAGGAGACAATGCAGGTTTCCTGCTTCACCCAAAGAAGGGTGGAGCTGAGTAGTGAGGAAAAGACTGGGGGAGGGACTTGTGAAAGGAGAAGGAAGGAAGGAGAAAAGAACTGGACCAGGCACTTGGAGAAAAGGGACTTGCACCAGGAACTTGGGGCGTATGGAAGGAGACACTTGAAAGACAGACGTGAGTGAGAGACCCTTGAGGGTCTGATGATGGCAGCCTTTATCTTGATTTGTAATTTGATTTTGTTTTTTACCTTGCCTGTCCCCTACTGCCTCTTTCCTATGGGTGCCCACCAGAAGGTGCCTTAGTCTTGTGGCAAGCTTTTGCGCCTCAGTGACCCTGCTTTGGGCCAATTCTGTTTGGCTGGCATTTATCCATGAGGGAATGAGTAACTTTGTGTATTTAATTGGAAACTATTTTTAACTATATTCTTTCTCTTCTCTCTTTCTCACACTAATTGTATTGAAAGTTCTTTTATTGAAGGTCTTAGACACCAAGTGTGTTTTATCTTTAGGCAGTGGGTGGCTGAACCCATTTAGAATAGGCAGGTATGGGAGTCTGGGGTGCTCCTCATTTTGCCTGCTAACACTCCTACTCCAGACCTACTAAGTCAGAAAGCCTGGGTTAAACCCTGACCCTGCAGTCTGTGATTTAATAAGTTTTTCAGGAGATTCTGATGGATGTGCAAATTTGAGGCCATCTGCCTAGGCCTCTGTGAGGATGCAGTGCAAACGCATGGGGTGGATTATTGCCTGTCTCTTCAGTAGGAGGATAGATGGATTAGTCAGGCTCTTTGGGTGAAAAGTCCTAATTAAGGTTTGAGATAAGGGAGTATTTTTTTTTTTTTTTGCAAGAATGCATAGCAGAATAACAGGCATCTTAATGACATGTACAGGCTTCGTAGAGACTGGGTGTTTTCAAGAGGTACTAATCTGGACAGCAGTTTTGATGAAGCATTAGGCAGTTTTTGCCTCCCAAGTGTGTAGGCAGAGAACCCTACTGTTCCATGTCATCCCTTAGCTATTCTGTCATTTCATTTCTGCTTATACAAACTTTCTTTATCTTCTGTTTAAATTCCTGAGATAATCTGATTGGCCCGCTTAATCACTTCATCATTTGGGCAGTGTTTCCTTAACATTTGCCTAACTTATAAACTCTTCTGACCAAGATAAAGATTGGTTTTACTTTGGTCAGGTTTCTGCCAACCCCAATAAGTTGGAACCAAAATGAAATGCAGATTTCAGTTAAGATTTTCCTAGGACCATACCTCTTAAAAGGTCTGAAGAGCCTCCTAGCATGGGTTGTGGGTATGTCACAAAGTGTGATGCTTGGCCTGTGAGTGGTGTCGAGCCATTCCCTGACCCTTAAATCCATGTGTAGTTTTTTGACACAAAAGGACATCAAGGAGAAGTTAAGCATTTGTTTAATTACACCCTCTAGGACTGAGTTGCAAACTTTTACCAAAAAATATTTGGAAATATTTCCCTTTAAACATTTTCTATAGGAAGCTTTTTGTCTACCAATGTAGGAATGTCATGAGCCAAATTATTTTGGAAAAAAAATATCATTACCTAGATGTACCAGATTGTAGGAACTATATTGTATGTAGAGATTCTGTTTACATAGTATGGTTCACTAAGCCATGACTAGAAGCAGCTTGTTGGCTTTTTTAAAAACCTCATTTACAAAAAAAATTGTTCAAGTGATTTTTCTCTAGACCATTTCAGTTTGTTGTGCTAAAGCACCCGTATAATAACTAAACTGATCTCACTATAAATACTAAAATGAACTGAAAAACAGAAAAAGCCCATTTCAAATCAAAAGGTTCACCTTTGGAGAGGCACGTGGTGGTTATTTAATGCCATAATTCATTTGAACAAACTTGAGTCATTTTAGTGTCAAAATTAAATTTGTACTTTATCCAGAACCTTGTAAAATCCATCTACGTGGTACCAGTACTGCCATTATCATTTGTCACCCAGTAAGCAAGTTTTAAAATAATTAAGGAAATACGACCTTTAAGTCTAAATCATAAATTTGGATATAATAACCAAAATTTAATTTGGATTTCTCAAACTGCCCAACATAACTGATTGGTTGTTGCTAACAGCTAACATGGGATAATTAGAGCTAGTATTTACATTTTGAATTGTTTCAGGTATTGAGTCCATACGCCTCCGTTTTGGTTATAGGTACATTCTTTCTTGATAATATAGACCCAGTAACTGTGGGCCAATGTCTGCTTTTAAAGTAAAATGTGCCTTCACTTCAAAACGTGCCTCTGAAAAGAATTAAGAAACATCGTCCAGCATACGAATGAAAAATTGCTTATCCAAAACTTTTGTTTTTAACAGTTGAAATCAGGAGTTTTGGAAACTTTTGGCACTCTTGGCAGTATTTGCAAACATTTTATTTTTATAAGTTCATTTATTTCAAAACCATTCTAGGAAGGTTATAACACTCTGATATGACATATTGTCTATCTTGCAGTGATCTGAAATGAGAAAATTGAAGTTTTTAATCACCAAGTGTTTAAAAAAAATTCCCTCTTGGTTTTAAGGGGAAAAATACATTTTATTTGTGTTGCTTAATAGGGCTATACTACTTCCAATTGCATTTAAAGATGTGGTATTGTTAACCCAACTGAGTTAAAAATCTGCCTTATCTGGTAAATATAATTTTTCTCCTAGAAGTTGAATTATCTTGGTAAGATCAGTTAATCACTCTTCACAACTATGCCATTACAAATCATTTACAAGCTGGAGAACATGCATATTTTACAGAAGTCTTACACCTTTCAAACTAAACTTTCAATGAAGTGTTTGATTTTTTTTAAAAAATAGGGTAAAAGACTTGTTTTCCAAGTCTTTCCACTTTATCAAAATGTAAAGAAACCCAGGAGTGCTCATTCAAATTTTTTTTTTTTAAAGATTTATCTACTTATGCATATAAGGGCTGGGGTACAGGCCAGAGATGCGGGGGTGGGGTGGGGTGGGGTGAGAGGATTCACCCCAGACAGCTGGGAACAGAACAGGCAGACTGACAAAATACACTGCTGAGGGGCGCAGCAGGCGAGACAGCAGAGGTCTGCTTCACCATGTGGGCCTCTCTCTGGCTGGCCGGGGATAGAACCCGTGCTGCAAAGTCTGTGGACCGCTCCTTAGTATGGTGCTCAACCCCCTGCGCCACCAGGGAGGCACCATATTTTCATATTCTTAATTCATTATATTTCTAAAAAAAATACCACCTCACATAAGGTTAAGTACTGACCTGAGAATGCTAAAAAAAGTTCTTCTACTCAGGAGTTTTAAAAACAACCAACTTCAATGCAATTACCAATGATTACAGTTTAATTTAAAGCAGAGAGATTAAGCATTACGAAAAGAATTTATTTTCATGAAGATACCAGCAGATGTCAGTAAAAACTAAGGCATTACATGCATTTGCACAAGGATAGAAGCTATTTCCAGCAGGGTGACAAATGTAATTAGAAAACCCCTATTACCAAAGCTTAGTCCTTTGAAGACACCTCAGTTTTCTACACTGTTACTTAACTTGGGAGAGGAGAGGGGTGGGTATGGGAGGTTAGCAGGATCTGACTTCTCAGGGTGGCAAGAGCTCTTTCAAAAAAGTAGACTGCTCTGATTTTGTTCAATAAAATCTGTCTGCAATACTACATAACAAGTTAAACTGAAGACCGTTACCTTCATCTATTATAAAAGAAAATTAAATGGTTTGTAGAATACTCACCATCCATGTATTCCAATATATGTTTAGTGGTTCTGAAAAGGGACTATCTGTGAGTACTTAAGTATATTTTTCTGGAGAAATCGTACCTTTCATTAGCTTCTAACAGTGGTCATTGACCTCCAAAAAGTTAAGAACTGTGCTAGAATTTACTAAAGTTATATTCTTCGTATTAATAAGTCTCCATATGTATGTGTATATATGTATACACACACACATACACACACTCTCTCTCTCTCTCTCTCATATGCCTAAAAATACACCTGCTAAAAATTACTTAGCTGAATCCATGCCAAGAAAATAGTTTTAGACTGTCAGGTTCTAGAACGAACAGCAAGTTATACAGAATTAGACATAATACATATTTTTAAGTTTCTTTACTTATATAAAATATTCCAAAGGTAAATTGTTATTTATTTTATTCAAATATATACATGCATTTTTAACATTTGTGGTCAACATTAAGATCAACGTTTGTGGCCTTATATTAACTTTACTAGGATTCACATATAGCAGAAATTTTTGTGTTTTATAATAACAGCATTCTAAAATATTTACCAGCCTTGAATGATACTTATGCAAAATACAGTAGGATACAGACATCATTGTATTCTATATTTCTGTAATTTTGTAATGAAAGACATTAAATGGACTTGTAGTTTTCCCAAAACACAGCTTTTATTATAGCCTATTCTATATCATATATAGCTTTCTTTGCAAACAAACATTTTGCATGCTCACTAAAAGTTTTGTCTCAAATAGGTATAATGAATGAATATTAGCAAAATTATTCAGGAATTTTCCATTTAAAGAGATTATTACTATCCTTGAAAAATAACATGAATGAGAACACAAAGGGATCCTGAAATACAAGTTCAATTTAAAATAAAGCAATTTAAATTTATTCAACTGAAGAGATATCCCTGTTTTAAACAAAAAAATCTAAGATTTTAGTTTGTCTTATAAAAAGCCTAACCAAAATTAAATTACTCTTAAAAGCAACAAAAATGACAGCAGTAGCCAAGTAAGGTCTAAAGATCCTGGAAATTCAGAAAAAAATTGTAATCTATATTCTCTGACTTAACAAAGTTAAAATAGTCTTTTTGCCAACGTTCTGTTGAAACGTATAGATCAAGGACTTGACAAATTAACTGTATTTCTGATAACTAGATCATGAACAATTACAACTTTTAAAACTGGCTTTCCATCCAAGTAAAACCAGTCATTTTAAACATACCAAAAGTGAAACAGGAATAAAAATTAACTTCTATTGCTCAATTCAATCAGACTTAAATTTAGCTTCAAGACTAAAAATTATTTCAAATGGCTAAGAGCTCATTTGATTAAACTAATGTACTGTATCAGGGAAAACAAAAAAGCAAAACCTAGTTTAGTGGCAATGCCTTAGATGATAAAGAAGTTACCACCCATCCCTGTCGTCCACATATCACCATATGAATTTCAACATCAGTTTTCAAGAAGTTGCACTAACAACCAGCATTTCTCTTATTTTCCCCTTCATTATTATTCCTTTTAATCCTAATTATTATCCTTTTAATCCTAACTGATTACCCCAGAACATTCAATACCAGATATTATGATGTATGTATTTTATGTCTATCTGTGTACTATCTATAAAAGATTTATTTCCCACCAAGGAGAAATTTTCAGTAAGAATACAAGGTCTAAACCATGAAAAGTTTATAACAACATTTGAAGAGTAAGTAGAGGGGATAAATGACATTTTAGCCCTTAGACATGTAGATTATTTCCAAAATAACACTCAAGCACTTGTGTGAAAATTAATTTTCCCAGAAGTAGGCATTGTTCTTAGCTATAGGCAGTCCTTGCTTTGCATGGTAGTGTGGAACCATAAAAGTGACCATTCAAAAAATATCTTAATCAATGGGAAAAATTATTGTTTTGTGACCTTGTAAATCTGTCAAAATATTAAAAACTGTCAGACATAAATGTAGAAAAAAAATTTTTTTTGCACGCTGTAAATTAAAATAGAAAACACCGGAATCAAAGCATTATTTTATTGTAAAAAGCTAGTTGAGTAGTTTGAACATTTGCCTTTTTTTTTACTGAATCTTTTTTTTTTTAACCTTTAAATTGCCATGTTTGGATCAGGTTCCACCATTTTGTGATTTTAGTGTTGTGTATTTCTCAATTTCCTTTAATGTGAAGTTTTTTTACCATGACATCCTCTGGGACATATTCATCCTTTTCATCACAACCACTTTCCCCAGTTACTCTGATAAGATTGGCATCAGTCAGTTTGTAGAGGCTACAGAATAGCAGAAATGCCAGCACTCCCACAGTCAGTCAATTCTACAACCGCACTTAGGTTTGATTGAAATTTCACTTGTAGCCTTATCATTTATTTCTTTGCTGCTTTTTAAATCTGTCAGCAAATTTCTTTGATTATCCACATTTGTCAAATGTCACATGGATATCCAGGGCACAACGCAACTATCAATACATGCTTTGCTATCTGCTAGTAAACTGAATAATAGATGTGCAGTTACCAATCACCAGCAGAATTGAGAATGTGATTGATCACTGATCATGAAACACATCTGTTACTCACAGATTGAATTTTGGACTTAAAAAGTTAGCAGAAGTGTGTCATGTAATCACTCACAGTTAATAAACTGTGGTCACTGAAATTTGAACTGTGCTATTAGGGGACTGGTGGTGTTTAAGTCATCACTAAATTTTATGAGAATTGTGCAAAGAGGGGACTGCTTATATCCTACTTGGTTACACTGACCCAGACAGGTTTAAAGTTGACTGCTGAGCAATAGCCCATATAAATTTATATCAAATAATAGATCTTACAGCACCCAAAATGTAATATCAATGCATGTTAAGGTGGTTTTCAAATTTTTGTCATTTGGCATTCAACTTTTAAATATATTTCAGAATAGTAGAAATTTAGAAACAGAGAAAAGACCTGTAAAGATTGTAGTTTGACACCCCAAATTATCCAGCATGTTTATTATGAATTATTTCTCCTCCTTCAATTTCAATTTGCTCATATAGCCATTTGCGGTCACAGCGGCACTCAGCTCCACATTTGGTTGAACCACAGGCAGGACAAGCATAGAAACACCCCAAGCAGTCTTCATCAAGGCAGTCACAAAGGTCCATTCCACTGAAAATCAGGAGACCCTGGCTATCATAGACCTTACTCTTTGCCGGTATCACTTGTCTGTAAAATAAATAAAAGACAAGGTGAATTACATATCACAAATTATAATATTTTTGATGACTGAATTAAAAATAAGGTGATAAAACAATTAAGGAGGTAAAATATCTTCAACTAGGGATGAAGTCCTGCCAAAATGCTACATAACTGACCAGACTAGAGGCAACTTTATAATTAGTTGTAAATAAGCTCATATGAAAAAAGACAACACATTAAAGTGTTAAGACAAATCCAAAAAAAATGCATATGCCCTCAAAGTCCATTTATAAAAGTCAGGACAAGAATTTTGTTAAAAAATAAGTGTGTTTCTGTTAAAACTATTTTCCCCATACCTTAAAAAGAAATGAATGGCTAGTTAACAGTGCTATATTTTTATTAGCGACCATCTCTTTACTACTTTGTGAATAGTTTTATTTTTATTAGAATATACTACCTTCTTGGTTTTCATACTTTGATTAGTCTATTTCTTGTGTCCTTAAAGGTCTCCAGAAAATGTGGTCAAAAATACTTAAAACAACTCAATGGAAAACCTTAACAGATGGAATAAATGGCATATGTAGACACAATTCCAATTATACTAACATTTCTTTATCAATTTATACTTTAGAAATGCTCATTTTAAAAAGTCATTTAAACAATTTAGTTGTCCTACTCATTGACTGTACCATAGCTGTTCTATTTCAGAGAAGTAAAAAATAAAAAGCAACCTTGCTTTTTTCATACAATTTAATTACGTTTAAAATGCCCTCACAGATCTACCAATGACAAAGTATTAATATTTTTCAGAGTATTTTACTTTTTAGAAGTATGTTTTAATTATTTTAACTCTTGTGCCAAAAATATTATCTTGCTCCCTTCAATGATTCTCAGAAACAAAATTTTTTTGCTGAAAGGATGCCTTAATTTTATATAAAGCTCTTAGAGGTTCATACTAACTCTAGGTTAGTCAACTCAAGATTTTACTGAGAAAATCAAAAATGAAGGCACAAGGATACAATACAGCTGTAAAGCAACCAATTACCATGTGTCTTGAGTAACACATAGCCTACCTGTCTGAACCAGCAGTTGCATTTTTGGTGAGCCTCCTTTTCTCTCTTTTGCCAGTTTCTGGAGCAAATTCAGTTTGCTTTCCTGGGTTTGCAAATTGTAATGACCTCAAAGCTTTGGCAGTTCTTCCCTGAATAAAAATAAACCAATTATCAACTCAAATTTTGACATCAGAATATAAATAGATTCATATTCCACTTAATGTTAATCCAGATTATCCCTTAACTTAGAAGAGAGTCTGGAACTCACAAAAATAAAAGGATTTAGAGCCCAAGTGCAACAAAATCTACATAGCTTGGGACTACACTCACAAGTTTAATTTATTAAATTTTCATTATCTACTTTCAATTTCTAGAGTATTAGAAGGGGGCAAGCTTGGTGATAACTATAATGGCTGCTGCCAACATAAGAAGAGCTGGCAGAGAGGTGTTCTTGTGACAGATGTGTCCTTGTTTTATTCCAAAGATAGTTTTATGAAATCTTAAATTATTCTGATATAGTTAAGTAATCTGGATTCAGGCAGGTGAATAAGAGAACTATACATTATTAAATGTTACAGTCTAAATATGTATTATTTTTGAACAGTGTGTCCTACAGTTAGCCTTCACCATGCCAAGTAAGAATTCAAAACTAAAAGGAACACCCATGCATCTTAATAACCTGAAGAGGAATGGGCACTGCCAAAGGAGAAAGAGAGGTAGAAATAAACCATTATTTCAAATCACTTCTCTGTTTTTAAAGCAGTAATTTTCACAATTACTTTATAAAAAGGGGAATTCATCCCGTTTTATAGACTTGCTGCTTCTTTGGAATTAGAAAAGAAACTATTAAATTCCTAGCTTTCCCAAAATGTTTTAAAACGACACTTTTAATGTCTTAGCACTAGGAGTTGCAGTTTAGAGTCTTGGGCATATTACAATTTAACCTACATAAATAGAAATAACCTGCATGTTATTCCTTTACCAAACCCGTTTTTTTTTTAATCAACCAATCTAGATATAGGAAGATATTTAGAAACATCATTTATTTTTACCAACCCAACTTTATATTCACTTCATGCTAATTACTATAATAGTAATGCAAATATGGTTTTCTTACAGTTAAACAAAATCCCACTGTACAAGTAACAATGGAGAAAAAATGACAACTATACATACATCTGAATCCGTCTTTCTTCTCTGTCGGTCTTCAGAATCAACATCCACACTTCCATTGATTATCTGTGTACATTTTGGACAAAGTTTCCAGCCAGGTACAAGTTGTCTTCCAAATTTTGCACTCAGAAAAGTGGCATCATCTAAGTCAATTACATGCAAATTTTTTTTGGCTAATTTTTTGTGTATGTTAAATGGGTCACAACATGACTTCTGCAAATCCTCAAATCTGTCAATGTAAATTTTTGCATGATGGAAGCAAATTGTATTGTTCCCAGAAAGCGTCATTCCAGTTCTAAGTTGAAGTAAAAGCATATCATTTGATGACAATTCTTGCAAAGTCTTGAAACCTGTGTGCCGAGTATAGTAGGTTTTATGGCATTCATTTGTAGTACGAAGCTGGACTCCAACTGAACATGGATCCATCATTCTTGATTTTACCAAATTCTCCTCTTTTATTTTGTCTAGAGATCTCTCTCTCTTGTAGGTCACATGCTGATCACCCTAAACAATAAAGAAAAACTTAACTGAATTCTTAAGAAAATGTTAGATTTATGCTACAAACTTTTTATCTGGAAAAATGAAAAAACAATTGATAAAAGTAAAAAAACTGCAAGAAAGACATAAAAAGGTACTTACTGACAGACCACAATAAACACAGTATACTTAATTTTATCATTAGAAGCATTCCTTAGACCCACATAAGAAAATTTGCTATCACAGCTTTCATTTAACACCACGTAACAGATAAAAGGATGGAAAAGAAACAAGAAATATGAACTAGAAAGGTAATTTACTGAGGATGCTAAAAACCAAAGCCATGTTAGGTATTTTTTATGGTATCTTAAACAAGACACACAAGACTTCAATGGTGAAAGCTATCAAGCAGAGGACAAAAAAAGGCATCCTAAATAAATGTAGGCATATATATCAAGAGTCTGACTCTAGTAAATGTCAATTCTCCAAGAATTATAAATTCAAAACGATTTCAATCAAAATCCCTTCAAGTGTTCCGCCCACTCCTACCTTGGCACTTAACCTGGTTTATATGGAAGAATAAAGGTTCACAATAATCTAGAAGAAAAACAAAAGTGATTTGCTATAAAACTACTACTATAATTAAAACAGTATGCTTTTGGTATAATACAGACAGATCCATGAAAGATGAGAGCTTGGTGTATGGCATGTGGTATTATAAATCAATAGGTATTACACACTATTGGGAAATGGATTTAATAAAAGATGCTTGGATAACTAACCATATGGAAAAAGAATAAGATCTGTTTCTCACAAATAAATATTAATTCCCAGATGGATTAAATAAACATGAAAGAAAAATTGTAAAGATGTTTATAATAAAACATAGTTTTGTGACACAAGGTTAGAGAAAAATTTCTCAAACAAGAAACCACATATTAAAGAAAAAAATGATTACATTTGTGTGAGATTAAGTATTTTCTTTAAAGGAGAAAAAAGCCACTTAAAAGTTGTTAGATTAGGGCCTCTCCGGTGGCGCAGCGGTTGAGCGCTGGGCTGCGAAGCTGCCCGCAGCCTCTGCAGCGCCAGTTCCATCCCGTCCCACATGGCGCGCAGACCTCTCCTGCTGCCCGCTCCCCTCAGCAGTGTATTTCGTCGGTCTACCTGTTCTGTTCCCCGCTCTGGCTCTGGTGAATTCTCTCACCTTCCCGTGCTTCTGACTGTACCCAGTGCTTGTATAAATAAAAATAAAATAAATAAATTAAAAAAAAAAGTTAGATTATCCAAAATACGTTATAACTTGACAAAACAATCAATAAATGCATGCAAAAATGTTCATCCTCATGGTTATCAGCAAAATGCAAATTAAATACTATTTTTCAAACATCTGCTTGGCAAAAGTTAATCTGATAACCTAGTGCTGGCTAAAACATGGTCAACTTTTACATGCTTCTTTATACAGTGGCAGGAATGTAAATTGCTGCAACTACTTTTACAGTGTTTTTAGCAATGGTTCACAAGATTGAGGCAGTGCACACTCCAGTACCTTCACTTTCAGTTACAGTGTCTGTGCTAGAGTAATATACATTTCATAGGAACAAAGGTTATACACAAGGAGTCAGCATCCCCTGTTTGATGGCAGTAAAAACTGGAAACAACCTAACTGTAAAGGAGAAAATGAGATTTACTCATACAGGTGACTCCTACGGGACAGTGAAAAAATATCATAGTTATATTTGGAAGACAGGTGAAAAAAGCTGCAAAAGGACAATACATCATTTATGTAAATTTTATGATTTATGTAAATTTTAAACACACAAAACAATATGTTTATGAGTGAAACCATGACCACATACTGAAATATATGGGATAACAGCAAATTTGTGGATACTTCTGAGAGGATGCACTAGGGAGTGATTATAAATGTATAATTTTAATAAGGTATAAAGTCTTACACCAACTAAATTAGAATCTGCATTTTAAGATCCCTAGATAAATCATTACAGTTTGAGATGCAGAGCCTCTGGATAATTCAATCAAACATTTATCAAGCATTTTCTACATTTATAGAACACACCGAAAAATGAGAGAAAACATATTATACATAGGTAACTGCCTTTCAGGAAGTTTGACACCTGAGCAGTTGTCAATTTGATACAATAGGTAACAAAGAAAAATATCTGCTTCAGTGAAAAAGTGCACTATTGAGAGCATAGCTCTTAGGAGTTTCACATTCTGATTACATGGGGGCTCTCAATCTTTACTTGCATTTGAACTATTTTACAAACTAAGAACTACAGATAACTAACAGTAATGAAAATAATTCTTGTCTTTTTCTTCTAAATTCTGTCTGGTGGAGGTTCAACTGACTCCCTGCCCCACTGTGGAAGATGAGAAGCTTGTAGCCATTTGCTCATTTTTCTAATTAATCTCAAAAGTATGTGTTCTTTTGATTGCCATTTGAACTGATTTACTTACTAGTGTTCTTGCCAATTATAATGGTAAATAAAAATCATATGTTCTAATTTTATCTTTAATCTTGACTTTATTCTTCTTTCTCCCCCCTTTCGTTGCAAGTTACACATAGGAAAAAAATGTTTCTGTTTCTTGTGGGATAACATGCAAATCATTAACAAACAAACTTTGAGTATCTTCATTTAGACCTGACATAGTTTTTGTGCCCCATCTTTTCGGAAGATTTCACCACGATACAAGTGAGATCCAAGTCTTCAAGTACCTTCAAGCTACAACTAGTGATAAAGGATTTAGAAATACTAACATTTAATTCCTGAATGAGTCAATGGTCTTCTAAGGTCTTTGTATATAGATGTTTGGATGAATTTTATTTGTATATTAATTATTTTCCACTTCAAATAGCACATATGCCTTTGACATGTTGAATTTTACCTGAGACCCATGCTCCTGGTTCTTTAAAAGCCAATGTTAAAAAAATCCACCCACCATTCTCCATATGGTAATTTAATATGAAAGAAAGTCCTATTCTTATATCTAGGACAAAGATGTTCCAAATTCTCATTCTCTGATTCATTTGTGAATTTAAGAATGATTAGCTGAACTGCTTGTTCCCATGATCAATTGGAATAAAAATGCTCATTAATCAAACTTAAGTTTTTCTCTTTCCCTAAGGTCTCTGAATTCTGGGCTACCCTCTGCCAGAACCAGTAAATAACCCCAATAACCTGGACTCAGGGCAAAACAATAATGGACCTACAAAAGAATAAAGGCTCTACAAAGAGTTTTATTCTAGCATTGTTTACTTCTTTGAATGCTGGTAGATTTTTTGGTCAGAGAATTCTTTTCATTACAATAGCTCCCTTTTCACCTCTTACAATAACATTTGACTAACGCTTCTCTTTGTTAATTGTTTTTTGTTTTTATTTCATAATTTCTTTAAAAGAGTCTGCATCTTGGACTTTTTCTTGCATTAGGACTGTCTACCACTTCAGAAGGGCATTGCCCCAAATACAATGTCCTTCAGGTAAAATTACTGTACTTGCAAAGTTCCTTTACACTTTGTCTTTCTGGTGTTTGCTGCTTGGAGACCTTAGCTCTTTTTGTGCCAAGCAATGATAAGTTGTCCTTCAAGACAGCACCAGGTCCGCACCTATCTGTTGAGTCTTCCGCAAACACTATTGTTCTACTAGTATTCTTACTCATGCTTGGACAACACTTTCAACCTTCTTTCAGCTGCTGGGAGACAGGAACTATATGGTTTATTTTTTATATCACCCAAGGTGAATAACTTCAGGGACTGCCCTTTTTAGAACTCAACACAGGCTTATTACTTGTTAGTTCTTTCCATTATACATTAAGCTCTGTGAGGGCAAAGCATCAGAGTCTTGTTTACAGCTGCACCTTCTCTAATCACAGTCACTAATAGATACTTAAGTTTTTTGAATGAATACATGAATCTCACACCAAAAAGGCTGAATTTCCTTGAATCTATGTTCCTAGGTTCCTCAGACTCTGGTTTTCCCCACTCCAATCCTGGGGTGACCACATGCTAAGGCCCTAGGTTCACAGTTATTCAAAATGTTTAAAGCCACAAGATACATCCAATGAAAACTATGTTCACACTACCTAAAAAGCATACTATTTGTCCTCTACGCTACAGGCATATGAAAAAATGTTCAGCATCACTTGTAATCAGGGAAATGCAAATCAAAACTACCATGAGATACCATCTTACACCAGTGAGAATGGCACATATTAAAAAAACTGGCAACAACAAATGTTGGCGAGGTTGTGGAGAAAAAGGAACTCTCCTGAACTGCTGGTGGGAGTGCAAACTGGTCCAACCACTATGGAGAGCTGTGTGGAGATTTCTGTACCTACTAAACATAGAGCTTCCATATGATCCAGCAATTCCACTCCTAGGTATTTACCCAAAGGACACAGAAACATCAATTCCAAAGAACACCTGCACCCCTATGTTTATAGCAGCACTGTTTACAATAGCTAAGCTTTGGAAACAACCCAAATGCCCAAAAATAGATGACTGGATCAAGAAGATGTGGTACATATACACCATGGAATATTACTCAGCATTCAAAAAAGAGAAACACATGCAATTTGCAGCAACATGGATGGAGCTGGAAGGGATCATGCTCAGCGAAATAAGCCAGAAAGAAAAAGAAAAATACCGGATGGTCTCACTCATAGCAGGAATCTAGAAAACCTAAATAAGCGGGCAGGAAAATGACTGACTTTAATAAAGTAAAATTCAAAATCAACAAGCAACTATAAACCAGAGACACGTAGAGGGTGGGGGGGGGGGAAAGGAGGAGGGATTAGGGTCAAAATAAGGGGGGGTGGGAATTGTATGGGGAATATAACCAAGATGAAAATGCATACATTGTGCAAAAATGAAAAATGATGTTAAAAAATATATATAAAAAGATAATAAACAGTACAAGCCTAAACCACGGCTTTGAGCGCCTCAGGTCTCCAGAAGCGAGGCGACAACCCGGGACGGAGGAGGTACAAACCGTGCTGGGCCTTAACAGAGGGGGGCCATAGGCGAATGTGGGGTGCGCGGGGCGGGGAGCGAGGGGGTGTCCCGGGCGCACGACTGCAGAGGCCCAGACGGCGGCCGAGTGTCCCCGCACGCGTCTGGGCCTCCTCCCCGACCACCCCTCCGGGACCTCCCTGACGCTGCGCCGGCTTCCTCCCCACCCGGGGACCCCGCTACAAACCTCCATTCCTCCCCAGAACTAACCCTGGCCCGGTCCGCCTCAGCGCGAGCTCTCCTCCGCCCGAGTTCCGGGAGCGCCCAGGTCCCTCCCCGCCGACCCGACCGCGCTTTTCTGCTCGTCCGGCGCTACCACCGAGAGGACCGCGAGCGCGGGCTAGAGAGGCTCAGCGCCACCATAGAGATCGGCCCGGAGCCGCCTAGAGCGGACCGTGCCCGGCGGCCTCTGGGCTCCAAAAGGCGGGGCGGCGTGAACTGGCGAATGATTCAAGGTGAGGCAATAGTTGCTTCAGAAGTTCACAGCATTTTGTCCACTGTTCTTGGAGGCTAGGGAATTGAGAGGTCCCTAGGGCATCTCTTACAACATGCGGTTTGGCAAACTTGGAGCGTATCGCAAAGCTCTACGTGTGCGTTGCCGAATGTTTACACCCCAGACCTCATCATCTAGGAGAAATGAATGAGTTAAAAAGGAAGGGATCATGCTCAGCGAAATAAACCAGAAAGAAAAAGAAAAATACCGGATGGTCTCACTCATAGCAGGAATCTAGAGAACTTAAATAAGGGACCAGGAAAATGAATAACTATAAGAAAGTGAAAATCAAAATCAACAAAAAACTATGAACCAGAGACAGTTTTTGGGGAGTGGGGGGCGGGAGGGGAGGGATTGGGGTCAGAATGGGGGGGGGGTTGCAAATGTATGGGGAATATAAAAATAAAATTTATTATTTAAAAAAAAAAAGCATCTCAAGAATAGACCAGATCCTTTATTTAAGGTCTCACCATTTATTTTATTTCTTTCATTCAAGCGACATATATTCCCAAAATGCCTTTCTTTATTGTAAATTGTAAAAATAGCTGTGTTCATTATTTCTGGTGGGATGTCAGCTCCAGAAAGGGGCTTGCAATTTTCTGAAGGAAGAAACAATATCTTCCTTGTGTCCCTAATGTCTTGATTTTTTAAAGTGGATTTTATTCCTCTAAAAGCATGAGCTCGAGCTAGTTCCTCGATAATGTTCAACTGTTTTCAGGTGGGGGGTGGGAGTGGGGCCAGACTGTTTGTGTTTTTAACCAGCCAAGTGAAAAATGTGAGACAAATAAATAGGAAAGGTCCTTCAAGGCCCACTAGCTGGTGATACGCTACACCCCTGTCACTTGCTGCTGTTCTACCTACTCTGTGCCCAGGCAGGGTTTTGCTGCTCAGTAAATTACACCAATCTTAGAAGGAGGGAATGTATCTGCAGCAGTTCTTTTAGTAGTTACTTTGTTGGTGGTATTTTGCTAAATTTTGAGACAAAGAAAATAAAATTTAGCCTGGTCTCAAAGAGCTCACAAGACTGAGGGAGAGAGGAGCTAACTGTTAATCATAGTGTGATGTGATAAATGGCATATAGAAACAAGGCTGTGAACAAGACAAAATGAGAGGTACTAAAGCAGGGTTTTGTAGATTATTGGTTGAATTGAGCTGTCACATGAATGATAACTTGATGCAATGGTAGCCTCCAAGTAAACTACTATGCAAGCTGTGGTAGAGGTAATGAAATAGAAGGCTCACCAACCAAATTAAGGTGCATGAATAGCATGGTCTATTGCATCAATTTAAAATTAAATCAGGGCCTCCCCGGTGGCACAGCGGTTGAGCGCTGGGTTGCGAAGCTGCCCGCAGCCTCTGGAGCGCCGGTTGGATCCCCGGCTGCTCCCTGGCCACCGGAGGAGGGTCCCACATGGCGCGCAGACCTCTCCTGCTGCCCACCTCAGCAGTGTACTTTGGTCCTTCTGCCTGCTCTGCTCCCCGCTCTGGCTCTGGTGAATTCTCTCACCCTCCCGTGCTTCTGACTGTACCCAGTGCTTGTATAAATAAATAAATAAATAAATAAATAAATAAATAAATAAATAACTCTTTAAAAAAAAATTAAATCAACTTAAATTCCCAGGGGAAAGAATTGGGTAAGTTGAAAGATATAGGATAAGGTCCAAATAGGTGAAGGGACAAACATCATTTGAATCATGAGTTGTGAAATATTTATCTGCCGCATCAGATTTTGCCACTGATGATATGCTTATGAGGATTAGAGTTACAGCAAGGAGGCCAATTGTACACTCCTGCTCTGTGTTTAGGTGTGTGCCTGCTTACTACTTGGCCTGATGAAAATTTGCAGGATTTATTTGCATTTCTTTGCTACAGCACATATGAGCACTTATACTAGGTGCCAACTATGTGGCACCTAGTGTGTGGGTGATTTCGGGATGCATATTGTCAATTCAAATACTGGGTAATTATTCATACTTTGCTTTTCCATACCTTTTTGGCTATAAATGACTTTCTGCAGGGACATGCACTCATAGAAGTTTATGTGTAAACATATAAACATAACCTCTACTCAGCCTTTAGAGCCCTCCTATCAATCAGCCTTTTGCTAAGAAAACATATTTTGGGTGGTAAATATTTGCTCACCTGCAATGGTCATAGAGAGTTTGATAAGAACTCTTTCAATGTAGTGATGGTAGAGTCAGAATATGCTCAGTGAAAGAGTGGGAAGTTAGTGATAACAGCTACCATAGAGAACATTTTTCAAGGAGCATTACTGGTAATACTGTATAGCATGAGGAGCTTTGTGTGTGTGTACATTTGAGTATCATTTTAAGAGCAGACAATGTGTTCAGTTCTTTATGTAAGTTTTGCTAATTACATTTGAACTTAAGCTTCTGCAGAATTGCCCTCCCCCTGGAAACAACTAGAAAATTGGGCATAATACGTGAACTTGAGCTCCCTGCTCTGTGCGACTTTGATGGCTTTAGGGTAGTTTGTTTTCCTATATAATGGCTCAGGGTTCCCGGTGCTTGAATTTAGAAAGCAAGGTGAAAGCTACTTTGTTTTGAATCATGTAGCATCACTTCCACTACATTCTGTTAGTTATATATGAGTTACTGAACTTGACCCAGATTCAAGGGGAGGAATCATTCTCTAACTTTCGATAGATAAAATTTTACAGATATATTACTAAAATGCATAAAATTGCATAGCCTAGTATCAAATCTAATAACTACTATAATTTCAAAGTAGTGATGAGTGGAATTGATATTGTCAGATACCTTTAATAACTATAATTTGGTACAAACTGATTTCTGTTGGTGACAAAGTTACTGTAGACACAGTTATAAATACTGTGGTGGTACTAATAGATGCTAATAATTCTGTAGTTTTTATTATTTAAATGATATATTTCAGCTAATGATTAGGGAAAGTGAAAAGATAGCTAATTAGGGACATATAAAAATAGCTTTTAGGGACATGAAGTTAGATATTATGAATATGCAGAAATGTAAAACAGCCATAAAAGGTGAAATTTTCAATTTCTTTTCTAGTGTATAGGTGGGACCACTGAAGGCAGACAACTGTATCAATTCAAGGTAAAGCAATTGTCAGACAGATGCATCAGGACAAGGGATAAGAGCTTAGGATTTTGTCAAAGAAGTGATTGGTATGGTGAGAGTTACAGGAGAAGCCACTATGTAAATTTGGTTTACTGTAGTATCTCCCCAGTTACTATCACCTGTTGTCTAATGTAGCTACCATTCTAACTTCTTTCACCATATACTAATTTTGCTGTTAATGAACTTTGAAATTATATGGTACATACTCTTTTGTATCTGGCTTCTTTTGCTTAACATTATGTGTTAATCATCCATATTGTGTGTTGCAATAGCTCTTTGTCATTGCTGAATTGTATTTCTGAAGCATGCAGGTGACAACATTTTATTTTATCCTTTTTTTCTTTTTTTTAAGATTTATTTATTTATGCATACAAGAGTTGGGGTACAGGCCAGAGATGCGGGGGGTGAGAGGAATCACCAGAGACAGAGTGGGGAACAGAACAGGCAGATTGACTGAAATACACTGCTGAGGGGAGCAGCGGGCAAGGAAGGAGAGGTCTGCTGCGCCATGTGGGTTACTCCCTGGCCGGCCAGGGATCGAACTCGTGCTGCAGAGGCTGTGGATTGCTTCATAGTACGGTGCTTAACCCCTTGCGCCACCAGGGAGGCCCTATTTTATCCATTTCAATATTACTGGACACTAGTTGATTTCATTTGTGGATTTTACAAATAATACTGCTGTGAGCATTCTGTCCTTTGGTGCACATATTCACACATGTGTTTGTGCATGTAGAGTAGTTATTGGATCATGTATGATCCAAACAATGTATGATCCAACAAATAAGTCAAAGATATTTTCAAAGTGGTTACACCAATTTATACTCCTAAAAGTGTTTGCTATTGCTTAGAATTGTCAGTCATTGTGGTGCTTGTTGAGAAGATGTAAAATGAAGTCCTTTCTTTTCTCCAGGGAGAATACATTGAAAAGTTTAAATATACATTGAGCTCAGAATATACTACAATGTGGGACAAAACCAGAGGACCTGGCAATTGCCCAAGACTATTGCTGACCAAAAGTGACAGAAGAGATGTGGAGAAAATTCAATTTAAGGAAACAAAGAGGTAAGTGGGGGAAGAAAAGAATACCAATGCATAAACTGTGGTTTCATCAGTCCCTGGGGAGAACAAAGGTGCGTGTTATGGATCTAGTTGTGAGAGACATGGGTGTGAGTGCTGTGGTGAGCCTGGCAGATGGGTTCCCAGTAATGAAGACAAAGCTCAGGAAGGTGCAGTTTACCCCACTTATTTCCCCTGGAAGTGAGCAAATACAAGAAAAAGCAGAGCACCAAGTTGCACAAGCAGAATGAGACCTCTACCAAGACACAGGGTAATGAACCTTACAAGAATTCACAAAATAGGTAATATATAAAGGAACCTCAATTAAGCTTACATCTGATCTGACTTCTCTAAAGAGCACTATGGGCAAAGAGAGAATGGAATGCCATGATCAAAATACTTAAAGACAAAAATTGCCAGACAAGATTATCCTGCGAAAGCTCTCCTTCAGATATGAGGGAGAAATGAAGGCATTCTCAAACAGAAGCTAAAGGAGTTTGCAAACACTAGACCTCGTCCTCTAAGAAATGTTCAAAGAAGCTCTCATATCTGCATTGAATAGAAGAATACACACAACTGAACAAGGAAACAGAACCACAAAGTTAAGGACAAAACTGCAGTAGCAGGCCTTCATATATCAATCAGT